ATCACTTACTTTAATCACTTAATTTCTTTAATTTATTGTTTAAAACATAGACGAAACAATCAATTAACAACTTAATACAGTGTCAATCGACAGCTCTCAATCAATGAAAATAATGACTTCACTAATTACATTAATGACTTTACTAATTACGTTAATGAATCACTAACCGAGATGTCACTGAGACAATCCAACACCACGCACTTATTATATTACAAATGAGATTTAATGACAATATTAGCGCGCCACAACCGCTAATTACCCACTGACGAGCCGCTGAGACAAGCGTAGTGTCCCTCCCCTCACATTACCTGGAGCCAGATGCTAACAGCCTATATCTCAAATGTGTTTATAATAAATCGTTCACACTCTCAATACGTCAGTCCAACCACTTGGGCTGGACGGTAGAGTGACGGTCTCGCTTCATGCAGGTTGGCGTTCAATCCCCGACCGTCCAAGTGGTTGGACACCATTCGCCCCTCCCCCATCCCATCCTAAATCCTTATCCATTTTTTTTTTTGCAGGGATATTCCTACGCGGGACTTAAGCCTCTGTCTGGCCCACTGGGCGGGCCCTAAGCCTCTGGCTGGCCCACTGGGCGGGCCCTAAGCCTCTGGCTGGCCCACTGCGCGGGGCCTAAGCCTCTGGCTGGCCCACTAAGTGTTGCTTGTTTCTGCTTTACTTGGGAGGAGTCTGAGTATTTATGACTCGTATGGTCGCTTCAGTGAGATTTTGCCGTATATATTTAACAACTTCTTCTGCTCTGTTGAATCTAAGTTGAAATCTTAATGGGTTTGTAACTCTGCACTGTGTTAGATAATGTTCCAATGGTCTGTTGTGGTTGTAACTGTGCACTGTGTTAGATAATGTTCCAGTGGTCTGACGGGCATTTCTCCAGTGTTGCAGTTTCCTCTGATCTTCCGGAACCTGTAAGCCTATTTCCCATGCACATGAGTATCCAAGCCTGATGTAATGTAAGTGTACTTCTGTTGTTCTACTGGTCCCTTTCATCAAACTAAGTGGTTCGTAGTTGATTGAATTCTTGTACCAACCCGCAGATCCTGATGTTGCAACTGCTGTGTTGTGGTCAATGTACATCTTTTGCATTGCTTTGTTTCTAATTACTTTCTTAATCTTTAATAGACTCTGTGGTATGTAAATGTCAACATTTCTTCTCTTAGTTGCAAGTTTTAGTGTCCAGTGTTTTAGTGTTTTAGTGGCAAGTTTTAGTGTCTTAGTGTCCAAGTTTTGCAGCTTCGTCTGCAATGTCATTTCCTATTATCCCCACATGACTTGGCACCCAGTTGATAGTACCTGTTGCCTTGTTGTTTGAGTGTTTGCATTATTGATATGACATTTGTGACCAGATGGATGTTATTACATATGTGTTCTTGTTGCATAGTTTCAATGGCGGTTCTCGAATCTGTATGTATGATAACATGTTGTCGGTGTTCAGCAAGAGCATGTTCCAAAGCCTTTTGAATGGATAGTCCTTATCCTGATCCCTTCCAAGTGCTATATATTCGTGATGACTTGGCGCTTTCCCCTGATAATTCAATTCAAATTCACAATACGTCACCTGTCAACCACTAATGACAGGTCAAGGTAGGTTAAGAGCTGTCAAGCAGCCAGAATAACGCATTACACGATCCCTTTGACACTCTCACAGAGACCTCGTTGAGAGATACTCGTATAATCCAAGATCGAGTAATTACTAATTACCATATTAATGCGCGGACACAATTTTAACAATACCCGGGAATTGTACTTACGTACAGCTTCGCACCCCGACACACTCGGGGTGTCCAACATCCAACATCCAACATCAACCAAACTCGTACATGCCGCTGCTGTAGCTGATGGTCGAGATGGCAGGTGGGCTGTAGAGGTGAGCGAGGGGACCCAATACTGTACACACAGTAATGGATAGTCTCCACCTCCAGCTACCAGATGATCGATGTTAAACCCAGGTGTTAGGGAGTTGCAATATGCAGGGCTGATCTGATCACACAGACACGACTCCAGCGCAATTTGCAACGATCACTTCATAGTCTCTGTTTACTGAGGTATAATTTAAATCCCTCCACACTCCTCCACACTGTGTTGTGTTTACTCGTACACTCTTCCCGTTTTCTGTTGATCAGAGGCGGGACACACTGCTCCCTCGCACTCCCATTTTCTGTTCGTTAGGGGCGATACACTGCTCTCTCACACTCCCATTTTCTGTCCGTCAGCACATGGTGTGTACACTGAAACGCGTGCTGCCTGAGGCAAGAGTGAGGGAAGATATTCCAACCCGTCCCTTCCCCCCCCCTCACTCTGACCCACAGGACCACCAGTGTCTCTAATGCCCAGAGTTATTCACTCTTTTGGGATAATCACTCTTGATTGTTCCTTAGATGACTGGACAATCACTTCCAATCAGACTCACATTGAGTCAATGCCTATACAATGTGTATACAGCAATGAGTATATTAAGCCACTGACTAAATATCCTCGATTTCACCCCTTTTATCACACTGTTTCCCAGTGAAATCACACGTTCTGGTTCACCATACTGCTTGTACCTTACAGACAAACACGTGGTCTGGGCTTGTCCCTTCACCGTCATTTTGTCCTAACTTTCTTCTTCCAGTACTAACAATAAATGGCTGCTCCACGGAGGTAAATAATTATCAAAAGAAGGCACCAAGCCGGGAAGGCTATGTAGCGCCATCAAATGTGCGGAATAATCATTGGGCGCTAAATATCACCGAGGATGCCAATTGGAGAACAGAAACGCATAAGGCGAACAATATCAAAAGTATCCGATTCACCAAGAATTCTATCAAGGGACAAGTGACCACGGGGGATGGTTGGAAAGCAAGACACACGCTCGTCCAGGAAGTCAAGACATTCAACAAGGATATGCACGACCGTAAGAGGGACAATGCAGTTTGGACAATAAAGAGCAGGGCAGTGCTCCATTAAGTGTCTGTGAGTTAAACGTGTATGGCCAATATGCAACCTTGCCATAGCCGTTTCCTACCGCCAGTTACGGTGGTAGGAGGAAGCCCACGGGGACTCACTATTCTTATGAATACGCAGTGTGTTACCAGTAACAGAAGACTAACAACCCTGCCAGTGGGCAAGGGTGGAGGAATAAATAACTGGGTAAAAGTCAGAATAAGGAATAACTTAAAAGGAGGTGGAACAAGTGTGAATAGCTTCCTTAGCGGCAGCATCCACACGTCCAATAAAAGAGACACCAATATGGCTGGGACCCCAGCAAAACTCTACTGTCTTAAATCTACTGGAGATAAGAAACAGCCAATGTTGAATCTCGACTACCACTGGATGGACTTGTTTAAAGGATTCCAGAGCCATGAGGACACTGCGAGAGTCAACTACAAACACAAAGGAGGATTGACAGCGAGAAAGCAGGAGACAAAGAGCATAGAGAATAGCATAAAGTTCTGCCGTGAAGATGCTAGTCTCCAGAGACTGGCGACACATATAGGTGTGGCCAGGAAAAAAACAGAGTAGCCTACACCGTCTGCAGACTTAGACCCATCGGTGAAGATGGAAATGGCGCGGGAGTGTGAAGAAAAGTGTTCAAAGAAAAGACGTTTCAGAACTGTAGGAGAGGTAAAAGCTTTAGTGATGTGGGGTCAGGGATTTACAAAATTTAGGAAGGGGGCTCCTCACGGGGGCAAGGACGGAACAACACGAGGAGAAATATTGGTAATACTAACCGAAAGAGAATTTTGCAGGCAAGACAACCGGACAGAAAGAGGGAGGTGGTGAAGGGGAACAGGAACTACAGGAAGGGTGAAAGTCAAAGCACGACATAGGGGACAGTGAGGGTGTTGTTAGGACCGCACAAGGTAGCGAAGACAGTAGCAATCACGGCGGTCCTAGAGAGATAGGAAGCCAGTGTCAACATACTAGCTGAGGACGGGAGTCAAACGAAAGGCACCAGAGCTGAGGCACAACCCAGTATGGTTCAAAGCATCAAGAGCGGCGAAGAGTAGAAGGAGAAGCAGACGAGTAAGCAGGGCAACCATAATCGAGTTTAGACAATATGAGAGAGGAATGTAAAGAGAGGAGCATGCGTCTACCCGCTCCCCAAAAAGTATGGGACAAAATCTTAAGTATGTTAAGAGTCTTAGAGCATTCAACTCGGAGGTAAGAGATTTGGGGTGACCAAGAAAAATGCGCGTCAAAGATTAACCCCAAAAGCTTAGCGAAATCTTTGTACACAATGGGATGACCATAAAGTGACAAAGAAGGACGAAGAACGACTTGCTTCCGAGTAAAGGTCATAGCACAAGTCTTAGTTGAAACTTGATGCCATGATTGGTGGCCCAAGGTGACACGGCATCAATCGCAAGTTGAAGCTACCAAGGCGAATCATCACCTCAACAGCTACAGAGGCGAATCATCACCTCGACAGCAAGGGGTAAGATCGTCAACATAGAGAGCGGAGAAGATGCCAGAAGGAAGAGAGGAAAGAAGACCATTGAGGGCAACCAGAAAAAGAGTAGTACTCAGAACACTGCCTTGCAGTACACCTTCGTATTGCCAAAAAGATGCGGAGAGAGAGAGTGGCACCAAGCCTCACTCTAAACTAACGATGAGAGGGGAAGCTTTGTAGGAAGAGAGGGCCAAAAGAACAAAGTTGGTGTAGAATATGGTATCTCCAGGAAGTGTCGTAAGCCTTTTTCAGGTCAAAAAGGACAGCAACAACGGATGGTCTTCACAGTAAAAGCAAATATGATTATAGCCGTCCATGTTCACCAAGACATCAGTCGTGGTGCGGCACTTGCGAAAACCAAATTGAGAAGGAGAGAGGTGGTGATAGTGTCCCAAGAACCACATCATACGAACACTGACCATATGTTCAAAGAGTTTGCAGACACAAATCGTGAGGGCAATAAGGCGGAAGTCCTTAGGGGATGTCCCGAGAGACCTGAGTTTCCGAATTGGGAGGATAATGGCATCGAGCCAGTCCTCAGGGACTAATGGCGACTCCCAGACCCAGTTATACAGATTCAGCAAATACTGGGACGTGCATGGAGGAAGATGGCAAAACCTCTCATAATGAATGTCATCTGAGCCCGCGGTCATCTAGCTCGCAGAGGGCTAGGGTAGACTGAAGTTCAGAGGGAGAGAGGGGATCGTTATAAGGAATTCGGAGATGAGTGAGGAAATCTAAGGGATGAGATTCAAGAATAGGCTTATGAAGAAGGAAAAATTGAGGAAGATGAGAACCGGAGCTAACACTCGAAAAGTGGGAACCCAGTTCGGTCGAGACCTTCACTGGGTCCGCCACAAGAGTACCATGGAGGTGAAGGACTGGCAAGACATCTTGAACGGACTTATCCGCTATCGTGCAGATTTTCTTCCATATCTGTGGCAGAGGAGTATCGGACGTAATGGTGGAAACATAAGATTTCCATCTCTCACGTTTAGCTATACGGATGATCCTATGGGCCACCGCCTTCACCTTCCAAAACAATATATAATTATCAGCCGTCTGCCAGCGTCGGTGTCTCTTCCAGGTTGCACGCTTACAGCGGACAGTCTGAGCACAATTTCGCATTCCATCAGGAAACACAGTTCCGCACGCCCCGGGAGATAGAGCGAGGAATAGAGCGGAGGGCAGCACGAAGACGGTGTAATGATAAAGGAGAAGGAGGGCGCAAAGGAGAGGCAGAGTGGAGAGGTCAGAGAGAGCAGCACGGAGGGTGAATAGGTTCCAGTCAGCCTTGGCAAACTGCCACCTAGGGAAGGAGAGGCTGAATATCAAACGGATTTAAACTGTTTCACACAGATAGATATATTAGACGAGGAGGGGGATTAACCATATGTGTCAGGGAAAATTTGAAATGGTGTCTCAAAGAGGGAATCAAAACTGAGTCACACACAGAAACTAATTCGTTAGAATTAAATTAAAATGCTAAAAAAAGGAGTATTAGGAGTTATATACAGACCTCCAAACTTAGACAGAACGGTAGCAAAGCATCTATGGGATGAAATATCTAGAGCATCTAAGTCAAACATAATTTGTGTCATGGGTGACTTTAATTTTAGTGGAATAAACTGGCTTAACAAAACAGGAAATAAAGAAGCAAAAGATTTTCTAGAATTAAAAGACGATTACTTTCTTAAGAAATACATTAAGGAACCAATGCTGGAAAATAATATTTTAGACTTAGTGTTATCTAAAGGAGACACAAATTTATAACTTCGAAATAGGGAATGAGCTAGAAAACAGTGATCACAAAGATATCAGATATAGCATAGAACTGTAGAAGCACATTCTCTTAAAGTGCCAAATTTCCGAAAAACTGATTTTAATGGCTCAAATTTTTTGGGGGATGTAATAAATTGGAATAACCTGGGCATGGGGAGTGTGCCGGACTGGAAGCGAGACGTGAACTAAGCGATGTGATTTAAAACTTTAACTTATTTAAAAATATTCTAAGCAAAGCACAGGAACGTAGTATACCATACAAATTGAATAGATCGAATAATAATGACCAAAATTGAATACCAAAAGGATCTGAAGAACCTTATAGGTAGAAAAAGATCTTTGTACAAAAGAACAAAAGGATTAAGAACGGAGAAGTCAGTTTAGAACAAGAATTCTTCCAACTGGTTAGAAATGTTAAAAAGAGATAGGGGGGGGGGGGGGTGGCAAAAAGAAACTATGAAGTTCGCACAGCAGAGCAAGCAAAGAAAAATCCTAATGTTTTTTTTCAGTTATATCGAACAAAGATTAGGGAAAGGATAGGTCCATTAAAACCTGAGACAGGTCAGATAACTGATAAAGACGAAGTGATGAGTAGTATTTTTAAGTATATATTTTATCTTTGTATTTACTAATGAGGAACTTGACATTATGCCTTCAGCCAAACAAATCTATGTGGGTGGGGACGAGGACAGGTTGACTAGATTAGCAGTTACCAGGCAGGATGTTATTAAACAGATAATGAAACTCAAGCTAAACAAATCTCTAGACCTGGACGAAGTGTTTGTCAGGGTGCTTAAAATCGGGAGGGAAATAAATACGCAAAAAGACGCAATATCACTTCAAGACAATCTAAATAGGGTTTTGAAATGGTAAAAAGATTGGCAGATGCAGTTTAATGCTGACCAATGTAAAGTTTTGAGACTAGGTAATGATGATAGAGTTACAAGATACGAGCTACATGGTGTTGGGAATGTTAAGTCAGATTGCGAAAGGGATCTGGGAGTTATAGTTAGTAAGAATTTAAAACTAAAAATGAATGCGTAAATGTTCGTAATAAGGCAAGTAGAACACTTGGATTTATTAATCGAAGCGTTAGTAGCAAGACACCTGGTGCTGTTCTTCAGCTATATCTTGCTCTGGTTAGGCCCCATTTAGATTATGGAGTTCAGTTTTGGTCGCCGTACTATAGAATGGATATAAATTCACTAGAACGCGTCCAGCATAAGATGACAAAGTTAATCCCTCAAATTAGACACCTGTCATATGAAGAAAGATTGACAAAGCTTAAATTACATTCTTCAGAAAGGCGAAGAATTAGGGGTGACGTCATAGAGGTGTACAAGTGGATGAATGGATATACCAAAGGGGATATTAATAAGGTATTAACATTATCAACACAAAGAAGAACACGAAATAATAGGTATAAATTGGATAATTTTTAGATTTAGAAAAGACCTGGGTAAATACTAGTTCGCTAATAGGGTTGTTGATTTGTGGAACCAATTACCGCATAACATAATAGAAGTAGGATCCCTTGATTGTTTCAAGCGTAGGTTAGACAAATATGAATGAGATTGGGTGGACATAAATAGGAGTGTCCTCATATGGCCCAATAGGCCTTCTGCAGTTACCTTTATTCTTATTTGGAAAATTTTTTGTCATATTTAGATCCCCATGACGATGTCTGGTTCTGCCCGCCGACTACACAGCTAAATATTTTGAAAAAGATGAAAACCAATATGTCATATAGTAATGAAAACAATAATTATCTGATCTTGGGAAAATTTAATATTTCCTGCTCTCATAATTTGTCCGTAGTCACACAAACACACGATCATGCCAAAGGTTTCTCTAGCACTGCCATTTTTTCTAAGTAAATTGGATAATTATTCTGCTGTTCAATATTTCACACGACTAAGTTCCTCACACAACGACCACATACATGGATAAGCTCGTTAATTATGGTTTTTATACAAAATGCAGGAACACAGCCCAGACATCGACAGAAACCAAGACAAATAGATGCACAAAGATAGATAGATAGATAGATAGATAGATAGATAGGTAGAGAGAGAGAGAGAGAGAGAGAGAGAGAGAGAGAGAGAGAGAGAGAGAGAGAGAGAGAGAGAGAGAGAGAGAGAGAGAGAGAGAGAGAGAGAGAGAGAGAGAGAGAGAGAGAGAGAGAGAGAGAGAGAGAGAGAGAGAGAGAGAGAGAGAGAGAGAGAGAGAGAGAGAGAGAGAGAGAGAGAGAGAGAGAGAGAGAGAGAGAGAGAGAGAGAGAGAGAGAGAGAGAGAGAGAGAGAGAGAGAGAGAGAGAGAGAGAGAGAGAGAGAGAGAGAGAGAGAGAGAGAGAGAGAGAGAGAGAGAGAGAGAGAGAGAGAGAGAGAGAGAGAGAGAGAGAGAGAGAGAGAGAGAGAGAGAGAGAGAGAGAGAGAGAGAGAGAGAGAGAGGGAGAGAGAGGGAGGGAGAGAGAGAGAGAGAGAGAGAGAGAGAGAGAGAGAGAGAGAGAGAGAGAGAGAGAGAGAGAGAGAGAGAGAGAGAGAGAGAGAGAGAGAGAGAGAGAGAGAGAGAGAGAGAGAGAGAGGGAGAGAGAGAGAGAGAGAGAGAGAGAGAGAGAGAGAGAGAGAGAGAGAGAGAGAGAGAGAGAGAGAGAGAGAGAAGAGAGAGAGAGAGAGAGAGAGAGAGGGGGAGGGAGAGAGAGGGAGGGAGAGAGAGGGAGGGAGAGAGAGAGAAAGGGAGGGAGAGAGAGGGAGAAGGAAAGGGTTAAGAGAAGAATGTTGAAAGAGGAGAAAAAAGAGAGAAGGGAGGAAAGTAAAGTGGGGAAAGATCAGAGAGTGGTGAGAATGAGTGGAATGGGAGAAAGAGAGGTGGAGAGTGGCTGTAAAGAAAGCTTGAGACGGGTGATAGGGGAGGTGTACTCATCTAATTGCACTCACCTAATTGTGTTTGCAGGGATTGAGCTTTGGCTCTTTTGTCCCGCCTCTCAGCTGTCAATCAACTGTTGTACAGATTCCTGAGCCTACTGGGCTCTATCATATCTACATTTAAAACTGTGTTTGGAGTCAGCCTCCACCACATCACTGCCTAATGCATTCCACCAGTTAACTACTCTGACACTGAAAAAAATCTTTCTAACGTCTCTGTGGCTCATCTGGGTACTAGGATTCCACCTGTGTCCCCTTGTTGGTGTCCCCACCTGTGCTGAAGAGTTTGTCTTTGTCCACCCTGTCAATTCCCCTAAGAATTTTGTAGGTAGTTATCATGTCTCCCCTTACTGCTCTGTTTTGCAGGGACGTGAGATTCAGCTCCTTTAGCCTTTCCTCGTAGCTCATACCTCTCAGTTCCGGGACGAGCTTGGTGGCATGCCGCTGAATCTTCTCTAACTTTGTTTTGTGTTTAACTAGGTATGGATTCCAGGCTGAAGCTGCATATTCCAGGATTGGTCTGACATAAGTGGTATAAAGGGTCCTGAACGATTCCTTACACAAGTTTCTAAAGGCAGTTCTTATGTTGGCCAGTCTAGCATATGTCGCTGATGATATTCTTTTGATGTGGGCTTCTGGGGACTGGTTCGGTGTGATATCAACCCCCTGATCTTTCTCTCTATTTGACTCTTGTAGGATTTCACCTCCCAGATGATACCTTGTGTTCAGCCTCCTGCTCCCTTCGCTTAATTCCATTACCTTACACTTACACAGGGGAGCCGGTCGGCCGAGCGGACAGCACGCTGCACTTGTGATCGTGTGGTCCCGGGTTCGATCCCGGGCACCGGCGAGAAACAAGAGGCAGAGTTTCTTTCACCCGATGCGCCTGTTACCTAGCAGTAAAATAGGTACCTGGGTGTTAGTCAGCTGTCACGGGCTGCTTCTTGGGGGTGGAGGCCTGGTCGAGGACCGGGCCGCGGGGACACTAAAGCCCCGAAATCATCTCAAGATAACTTCAAGAAGAATTCCTGAGATGAACTTTAGCAACCATTTTCTAGATCATTCCTCCTGTTTGTCCAGGTCATCCTGTAGTCTCTGTATATCTTCATCCGTCTCGATTCTTCTCATAATTTTTGCATCATCAGCAAACATTGAGAGGAACGAGTCTATACCCTCCGGAAGATCGTTTACATATATTAGAAACAAGATGGGTCCAAGTACTGAGCCCAGTTGGACTCCGCTGATGACATCTCGCCACTCTGATGTCTCCCCCCTCACCGTTACTCGCTGTTTCCTGTTGTTTAAGTACTCCCTTATCCACTGGAGAACCTTCCCTTTTACTCCTGCCTGTTGCTTCAACTTTTTGACAGCCTTTTAAGGCTTTCTGGCAGTCCAGAAAAATGCAGTATCCCACCCTTCTCTTTCCTGCCTAATTTTTGTTGCCTGGTCAGAGAATTCTATTAAACCTGTGAGGCACGATTTACCATCTCTGAACCCATGTTGATGGTGCATAACAAAGTTATTTCCCTCCAGATGCTCTACGAGCCTTCTCCTCACGATCTTCTCCATCACCTTGCATGGTATACAAGTTAGGAAAACTGGCCTGTAGTTCAGTGCCTCCTGCCTGTCACCCTTCTTGTATATTGGGACTACGTTAGCTGTCTTCCAACTTACTGGTAGGTCTCCTGTTTCCAGTGACCTGTTATACACCATAGAGAATGGCACACTTAGTGATTCTACACCTTTTTTTAGTACCCATGGTGAAATTCTGTCAGGCCAAACAGCCTTTGTCACATCCAGCTCCATCAGACATCTTTTGACCTCATCACTGGTGAGGTCAAATTTCTCCAAGGTTGCTTGGTTTGCCGCCTCCTCATTTAGTGCAGGGGCTTCTCCTTGTACTATTGTGAAGACTTCATGGAATCTCTTGTTGAGTTCTTCACACACCTCCTTTCCAATCTCAATTTCAGTGTATTTGTTTTCCCCCTTTTTTTTGGGGGGAAGGGGGGTGGAATAGGAGTGGGAATGTTGGGGAGAGAGGGGGAGAAATAAATATAAGTTGGATAGAGGAAGAGAGGAGGATAGTAGGAGAGAGGATGGAGAGGAGGTAGAGTGGGTGGTGAGAGAAGGAGAAAGGGGAAGAGAAAGATGAGAGGCGGAATTTGCGGAAAAAAAAGAAGAGAGGGGACGAGAGGAAGATAAATGAAAGAAGACAAAATTTGGGAAGAGAGAGAAGTGGCAGAGAGAAGGAAGACAGACCTGACCACAGCCGGATATCCCATCTGGTGTACACATATGTATGTATCAACACTTTCCTATGATTTGTAAACAGTGTAAGACTTGACAATAAATAATACACACGAGCTCTCACAATTTTTTTAGGTTTCTCCCTTCTTGTAACTGAAAATCTACGAACTACTGAATCACACAATTTGTATTATTCTTGGCATTTAAAATAAAACATGCACTCCTCACAATCATTCCCACATAATTATGACTATTAATCAACCTACGAAGGTAACACGAATTTTTGAAAATCCAGGAAATTGTAAAATGTTAAATAAAAAATCATCTTCGCACATTTTCTTCTGATATAAAAGTTAACATCTTCCTTCAGCCCCTCGTCCTCCGTAATTAAATTCCTGTTTTGCATATTAAATTTTCTCGGTGAGAAATCTACCATCTTGTGCATATTAAGTCACTGCTGCAAATGTAAGTGTTAATCATTAAATATTTGTACCGTTGTTAGTCTTTTTGCGACTATTGTTGCGCTGAGACATGAAGTATCACGTTATTAGAGTAGAAACTTTATAAAGACCGAGATACAGTCACTATTAGGTAAGCGAAGGAGTCGCTCAGCCCATTACAATGCACAAAACCTCTCCCTGGCAATCTCCATATTGATTGCGTTATTTGGAGGAAACAGATTGGATTGGATTCTCATTCACAGCAAGACCAGTGGGTTTTGTGTGATACGTGTGTGCAGGTATCTGTGAGTGTAGGGTTAAATTTTTGCATGTACACATTTACGAGCGTGTGTGGATGTTTGCAAGCGTGTTTGTATGTTTGCAAAATATTGTTTAAGTGCGAATGATTATCAATGATGTAGACTTTGGGAGACGTGTTCGGTGTGATATCGACCCCAAGCTCAGATCTTCTCTTCGACTCCAGAAATTTTCCAGTAGTGGTTGTTGCCTCCTACTTCCAGCACGTAGATGTTATACTGTACACTTGATGGAGTTAAATTCTTGAAGCCATTTCTTTACCATTTCCTTCGGCTGGTTAACATCTGCGTGAACGCCAACAGTACTCCCTCGCATATCCTCGACAATGTGATGTCATCAACAATTGATAACAGTAAGTAGAATATCCCTTCAAGAAGATCACTTACATAGGAACAATATAAACCCAGTCCTGACTGTCCTGACACCGGGGGGTTCGCCACTGGACAGTCCCCACCCCAGGAGGACGCCGCTGGACAGTCCCCACACCAGGAGGACGCAACTGGACAGTCCCCACACCGGGAGGACGCAACTGGACAGTCCCCACACCGGGAGGACGCAACTGGACAGTCCCCACACCGGGAGGACGCGGGTGGACAGTTCCCACACCGGGTGGACGCCGCTGGACAGTCCCAACACCAGGGGGACGCCGCTAAACAGTCCCCACACCGGGAGGACGCCGCTGGACAGACCACACACCGGGAGGACGCCGCTGGACAGTCCCAACACCAGGGGGACGCCGCTGGACAGACCCCACACCGGAGGGACGCCGCTGGACAGTTCTCACACCGGGAGGACGCCGCTGGACATTCCCCACACCGGGAGGACGCCGCTGGACAGTCCCAACACCAGGGAGACGCCGCTAGACAGTCCCCACACCGGGAGGACGCCGCTGGACAGACCACTCACCGGGAGGACGCAGCTGGACAGTCCCCACACAGGGGGGACGCCGCTGGACAGTCCCCACACAGTGGGGAAGCCGCTATACAGTCCCCACACCGGGTGGACGCCGCCAGACAGTCCCCACACCGGGAGTACGCAGCTGGACAGTCCCCACACCGTGGGGACGCCGCTATACAGTCCCCACACCGGGTGGACGCCGCCAGACAGTCCCCACACCGGGGGGACGCCGCTGGACAGACCCGACACCGGGGGGACGCCACTGGACAGTCTCCACATCGGGAGGATGCCGCTGGACAGTCCCCACACCGGAAGGACGCCACTGGAAAGTCCTCACACCAGGAGGATGCCACTGGATAGTCCTCACACCGAAGGGACGCCGTTGGACAGTTGCCAAACCAGGGAGACGCCACTAGACAGTCCCCACACCAGAGGGACGCTGCTGGACAGTCTCCACAACGGGAGGACGCCGTTGGACAGTCCCCACACCGGGTGGACGCTGCTGGACAGTCCCCACACCGGGAGGACGCCACTGGATAGTCCCCACACCAGGAGGACGCCACTGGATAATCCTCACACCGAAGGGACGCAACTGGACAGTCCCCACACCGGGTGGACGCCGCTGGACAGTCCTAACACCAGGGGGACGCCGCTAGACAGTCCCCACACCGGGAGGACGCCGCTGTACAGTCCCCACACCGGGTGGACGCCGCCAGACAGTCCCCACACCGGGAGGACGCAGCTGGACAGTCCTCACACAGGGGGGACGCCACTGGACAGTCTCCACATCGGGAGGACGCCACTGGATAATCCTCACACCGAAGGGACGCAACTGGACAGTCCCCACACCAGGGGGACGCCGCTGGACACTCCACACACCGGAGGGACGCCGCTGGACTGTTCGTACATCGTGGGGACGCCTCTGTACAGTCCCCACACCAGGGAGAGGCCGCCAGACAGTCCCCACATCAGGGGGACGCCGCTGGAGAGTCCCCTCACCGGGGGGACGGAACTGGAAAGTCCCCACACCAGGGGACGCCACTGGACAGTCCCCACATCGGGAGGATACCGCTGGACAGTCCCCACACCAGGGGGACGCCGGCGGACAGGCCCCACTCCGAGGGGAGCCCGCTGGACAGTCCTCACACAGAGGGGACCCTTTTGGACAGTCCCCATACCGAAGGAACGCCGCTGGATAGTCCCCACACCGGAGGGTCGCTGCTGGACAGTCTCCACACGGGGAGGACGTCACTGGACAGTCCCCACACCAGGAGGACGCCCCTGGACAGTCCCCACACCGGGGGGACGCCACTGAACAGTCCCTACACCGGAGGGAGGCCGCTGGACAGTCTCCACACCTGGAGGACGCCACTGGACAGTCCCCACACCGGAGGGATGCCACTAGACAGTCTCCACACCGGGTGGACGCCGCTGGACTGTCTCCACACCGGGAGGACGCAGCAGGACAGTCCCCACACCGAAGGACGCCATTGGATAGTCCTCACACCAGGAGAACGCCACTGGATAGTCCTCACACCACAGGGACGCCGCTGGACAGTTGCCACACCTGGGGAAAGCCGCTGGACAATCCCCGCAAGGGGGGAAGCAGCTAGAAAGTCGCCACACTGTGGGGATGCTCCTGGACTGTCCTCGCACCGGGGGCACGCTCCTGGAAAGTCCCAACACGGGAGGGACGCCGCTGGACAGTCCCAGCACCGGGGGGACGCTGCTGAACAGTCCCCACACCGGGTGAACGTTGCTGGACAGTCCACGCACCGGAGGGAGGCCGCTGGACAGTCCCCACATCGGGAGGGGGGGGGGGGTACGCTGGACAGTCCCAACACCGGGGGGACGCCGCTGGACATTCCACATACCGATGTCACGCCGCTGGATAGTCCCCACACCGGGTGGACGCCAGTAGACAGTCCTCACACGGGGGGGGGGGACGCCGCTGGACAGTCCCCACTCCGGGAGGACGCCGCTGGACAGTTCCCACACCGGGAGAACGTTGGTAGATAGTCCCCATAGCGGGGGGACGCAGCCGAACAGTCCCCACACCGGGGGGACGCTGCTGGACAGTCCCCACACCTGAAGAATGATGTAGGACAGTCCCCACACTGGGAGGACGCCCTTTAACAGTTCCCATACCGGAAGGACGCTGCTGGAGAGTCCCCACTCCGGAAGGACGCCGCTTCACAGTCCCCCCACCGGGTGGACGCCGCTGGACAGTCCCCACACCGGGAGGACGCCGCTGGACAGTCCCCTCACCGGGGGGAGGCCGCTGGACAGTCCCCTCCCCGGGAGGACGCCACTAGACAGTCCCCACACCGAGAGGACACAACTGGACAGTCCCCACACCGAGAGGACACAACTGGACAGTCCCCACACAGGGGGGTATGTCGCTGGACGGTACCCACATCGGGTGGGCGGGTACGCTGGACAGTCCCTACACCGGGGGGACGCCATTGGAAAGTCCCCACACCAGGGGGACGCCGCTGGACAGTCCCCACTCCGAGGGGAGCCCGCTGGATAGTCCCCACACGGGGGGGACGCCGCTGGACAGTCCCCACACCGAGGGGACGCCACTGGACAGTCCCCACACCATTAAGACGCAGCTGGACAGTCCCCACTCCGGGGAGACGCCGCTGGACAGTCCCCACACCGGGGGGACGCCGAAGGATAGTCCCCACACCAGAGGGACGCAGCTAGACAATCCCCACACCAGAGGGACGCCGCTAGACAATCCCCACTCCGGGGGACGCCGCTGGACAGTCCCCACACCGGGAAGACGCTGCTGGACAGTCCCCACTCCGGGGGGACGCCGCTGGACAGTCCCAACAGCGATAGGAAGCCGCTGGACAGTCCCCACACCGGGAGGACGCTGCTGGACAATCTCCACACTGGGAGGACGCTGTTGGACAGTCTCAACACCGGGAGGACGCCGCAGGACAGTCCCCACACCGGGTGGACGCCGCACGACAGTCCTCACACCGGAAGGACGCCACTGGACAGTCCTCACACCGGGAAGACGCCACTGGATAGTCCTCACACCGAAGGGAAGCCGTTGGACAGTTGCCAAACCAGGGGGACGTCGCTGGACAGTCCCCGCCCAAGGGGGGACGCTGCTGGAAAGTCCCCACACTGGAGGGCTCTTTGCTGGACTGTCCTCGCACCAGGTGGACGCTCCTGGAAAGTCCCCACACCGGGAGGACGCGCCTGGACAGTCCCCACACCGAGGGGAGACCACTGGACAGTCTCCACACCGGGAGGACGCCGCTAGACAGTCCCCACACCGGAGGGACGCCGATGTACAGTCCACACACCGGAGGGACGCCGCTGGACAGTCTCCACACCGGGAGGACGCCACTGGACAGTCCCCACACCAGGAGGACGCCGCTGGACAGTCCCCACACCGGGGGGACGCCGCTGAACAGTCCCTACACCGGAGCGAGGCCGCTGGACAGTCTCCACACCGGGAGGACGCCACTAGACGGTCTCCACACCGGAGGGACGCTGCTGGACAGTCCCCACACCGGTTGGACGCCGCTGGACTGTCTCCACCCCGGGAGGACGCCGCAGGACAGCCCCCACACCGAAGGACGCCATTGGACAGTCCTCACACCGGGAGGACGAACTGGACAGTCCCCACACCAGGAGGACGCCACTGGATAATCCTCACACTGAATGGACGCCACTGGACAGTTGCCACACCAGGGGGAAGCCGCTGGACAATCCCCGCACCATGCGGAAGCAGCTGGAAAGTTCCCACACTGTAGGGATGCTCCTGGACTGTCCTCGCACCGGGGGGACGCACCTGGACAGTCCCCACACCGGGGGGGACGCCGCTGGACAGTCCCCCCACAGGGGGGACGCAGCTGGACAGTCCCCACACCAGGGAGAGGGCGCCAGACAGTTCCCACATCGTGGGGACGCCGCTGTACAGTCCTCAAACCAGGGAGAGGCTGCCAGACAGTCCCCACACCAGGGAGAGGCCGCCAGACAGTCCCCACACCGAGGGGACGCCACTAAACAGTCCCCACATCGGGAGGATACCTCTGGACAGTCCCCACAATACGGGGACGCCGCTGGACAGTCCCCACACCAGGGAGAGGCCGCCAGAAAGTCCCTACACCGCGAGGACGCCGCTGGAAAGTCCCCACATCAGGGGGACGCCACTGGATAGTCCCCACACCGGGAAGACGCTGCTGGACAGTCCCCACTCCGGGGGGACACCGTTGGACAGTCCCCACACCGGGGGGACGCCGAAGCATAGTCCCCACACCAGAGGGACGCCGCTAGACAATCCTCAAACCGGGAGGACGCCGCAGGACAGTCCCCACTCCGGGGGGACGCCGTTGGACAGTCCCAACACCGAGAGGACGCCGATGGACAGTCCCCACACCGGGTGGACGCCGCACGACAGTTCCCACACCGGAAGGACGCCACTGGACAGTCCCCACACTGGGGGGTCTTTGCTGGACTGTCCTCGCACCAGGGGGACGCTCCTGGACAGTCCCCACACCGGGGGGAGGCCACTGGACAGTCTCCACACCGGGAGGACGCCGCTGGAGAGTCTCCACCCTGGGGGGACGCCGCTAGACAGTCCCCACACCGTGGGGATACCACTAGACAGTCCCAACACCAGAGGGACGCTGCTGGACAGTCCCCACACCGTAGGGACGCCGATGGACAGTCCACACACCGGAGGGACGCCGCTGGACAGTCTCCACACCGGGAGGACGCCACTGGTAAGTCCCCACACCAGGAGGACGCCGCTGGACAGTCCCCACACCGGGGGGACGCTGCTGAACAGTTCCTACACCGAAGGGAGGCCGCTGAACAGTCTCCACACCGGGAGGACGCCACTGGACAGTCCCCACACCGGAGGGATGCCACTAGACAGTCTCCACACCGGGAGGACGCCGCAGGACAGTCCCAACTCCGAAGGACGCCATTGGACAGTCCTCACACCGGGAGGACGAACTGGACAGTCCTCACACCAGGAGGACGCCACTGGATAGTCCTCACACCGAAGGGACGCCGCTGGACAGTCCCCACAATGGGAAGACGCTGCGGGACAGTCCCAGCCACACCAGGGGGAAGCCGCTGGACAATCCCCGCACCGGAGGGAAGCAGCTGGAAAGTCCCCACACTGTGGGGATGCTCCTGGACTGTCCTCGCACCGGGGGGGACGCTCCTGGAAAGTCCCCACACCGGGGGATGCTGCTGGACAGTCCCCACACCGGGGGAACGCCGCTGGACAGTCCCCACATTGGGAAGACGCTGCTGGACAGTCCCAGCACCGGGGGGACGCTGCTGAACAGTCCCCACACTGGGTGAACGTTGCTTGACAGTCCGCGCACCGGGAGGACGCCGGTGGACAGTCCACACACCGGGGGGACGCCGCTGGACAGTCACCACACCGGGGGGACGCCGCTGGATAGTCCCCACACCTGGAAGACGCTACTGGACAGAGCCCACTCCGGGGGACGCCGCTGGACAGTCCCTACACCGGGAGGACGCCGAAGGATAGTCCCCACCCCGGGTGGACGCCGATGAACAGTCCCCACACCGGGTGGACGCCGCACGACAGTCCCCACATCGGAAGGACGCCACTGGACAGTACTCACACTGGGAGGACGCCACTGGATAGTCCTCACACCGAAGGGACGCCGTTGGACAGTTGCCAAACCAGGGGGACGCCGTTGGACAGTTGCCAAACCAGGGGGACGCCGCTGGATAGTCCCCAGATGGGAGGGACGCTCCTGGACAGACCCCACACCGGGGTGACGCCACTGGACCATCTCCACAAAGGGAGGACGCCGCTGGATAGTCTCCACACCGGGGGAACGCCGCTGGACAGTCTCCACACCGGAAGGACCCCACTGCACAGTCCCCAACACCGTGAGGTACCCACTGGACAGTCCCCACACCAGGAGGACGCCGCAGGATAGTCCCCGCACCGGGAGGACGCCACTGGACAGTCCCCACACCACGAGGACGCTACAGGATAGTCCCCATATCGAAAGGACGCTCCTGGACCGTTTCCACACCGGGGGGACGCCACTGGACAGTAATTGCACCGGGGGACGCTCCTGGACAGTTCCCACACCGGGGGAACGCTGCTGGACAATCCCCACACCGGGGAGACGCCGCTGGACAGAGCCACACCGGGGGGACGCCGCTGGACAGTACCCACACCGGGTGGACGCAGCCGGACAGTTCCCAAACCGGGGGAACGCCACTGGACAGTCCCCACACCGGGAGGAAGACGCTGGACAGTCCCCACACCGGGGGGACGCCGCTGGATAGAGCCACATCGGGGGGACGCCACTGGACAGTCCCCATACCTTTGAGACGCTGCTGGAAAGTCCCCACACCGGGTGGACGCTGCTGGACAGTCCCCAAACCGGACGAACGCCACTGGACAGTCCCCACACCAGGAGAACGCCACTGGACAGTCCCCACACCAGGAGAACGCCACTGGACAGTCCCCACACCGGGAGGACGCCACTGGACAGTCCCAACAACGGGGGGACGCCGCTGGAAAGTGTCCACACCGAGAGAACACCGCTGGACAGTCCTCAAACCGGGAGGACGCCACTGGACAGTCCCGATACCGGGGGAACGCTGTCGGACAGTCCCTACACTGGGGGGACGCTGCTGGACAGTCCTCACACCGGAAAAACGCTGCTGGACAGTCCCCACACCGGGAGGACGCCCCTTAACAGTCCCCAAACCGGGAGGACGCTACTGGACAGTCCCCACACCGGGGATGACGCCGCTGGACGGTCCCCTCATCGGGGGGACGCCGCTATACAGTCCTCACACCGGTGGGACGCTGCTGGACAATCCCCATACCGGGGGGACGCCACAGAACAGTCTCCACACCGGGAGGACACCGCTGGACAGTCCCCACACCGAAGGGACGCCGCTGGACAGTCCCCACACCGGTAGGACGCCACTAGACAGTCCTCACACCGAAGGGGACGCCGCTGGACAGTCCCCACACCAGGAAGACGCCGCTGGATCGTCCCCACACCGGGAGGATGCTGCTAGACAGTCCCCATACCAGGGGGACGCGGCCGGACAGTTCCCAAACCGGGGGAATGCCACTGGACACTCCCCGCACCGGGAGGACGCCGCTGGACAGTCCCCACACCGGGGGGACGCTGCTGGACAGTCCACACACCGGGAGAACGCCGCTGGACAGTCCACACACCGGGAGGACGCCGCTGGACTGTCCCAACACCGGGGTGACGCCGCTGGACAGTCCTCCACACCGGGAGAACGCCGCTGGACAGTCCCCAAACCGGGAGGACGCCACTGGACAGTGGCCACACCGAAGGGACGCCTCTGGACAGTCCCCACACCGAAGGGATGCCTCTGGACAGTCCCCACACCCGGGGGACGCTACTGGACAGTCCCCACAATGGACTGATGCCGCTGTACAGTCCCCACAATGGACTGATGCCGCTGGACAGTCCCCATACCAGGGGGACGCCGCTGGACAGTCCCCACACCGGGAGAACGCCGTTGGACTGTCCCCACACCGGGGGGAAGCCGCTGGACAGTCTCCACACCGAGAGGACGCCGCTGGACAGTCCCCACACCGAAGGGACGCCGCTGGACAGTCCCCACACCAAACGGACGCCGCTTGACAGTCCCCACACCGGGGCGGACGCCGCTGCACAGTCCCAACACCCGGGGGACGTTGCTGGACAGTCCCCACACAGGGGGGACGCCGCTAGACTGTACCCACACCGGAAGGACGCTGCTGGACAGTCCCCACACTGGGAGGACGCCACTAGACAGTCCTCACATCGGGGGGATGCCGCTGGACAGTCCCCACACCGGGAAGACGCCGCTAGACAGTCCTCACACCGGGGGGACGCCGCTGGACAATCCACACACCGGGGGGACGCCACAGAACAGTCTCCACACCGGGAGGACACCGCTGGACAGTCCTCGGTGTGTTGGGACTGTCCATCGGTGTCTCCCCGGTGTGTGTACTGTCGAGCAGCGTCCTCCCGGTGTGGGAACTGTCCAGCAACGTCCTCCCGGTATGAGGACTGTTAAGGGGAGTCCTCCCGGTATGGGGACTATCCAGCGGCATCTTCCCGGTGTGTGGATTGTCCAGCAACGTCCTCCCGGTATGGGGACTGTTGAGGGGAGTCCTCCCGGTGTGGGGACGCCGCTGGATAGTCCCCACACCGGGAGGACTCCCCTCAACAGTCCCCATACCGGGAGGACGTTGCTGGACAATCCACACACCGGGAAGATGCCGCTGGATAGTCCCCATACCGGGAGGACTCCCCTTAACAGTCCTCATACCGGGAGGACGTTGCTGGACAGTTCCCACACCGGGAGGACGCTGCTCGACAGTACACACACCGGGGAGACACCGATGGACAGTCCCAACACAGGGAGGACGCCGCTGGACAGTCCCCACACCGGGAGGACGCCGCTAGACAGTCCTCACACCGGGGGAACGCCGCTAGACAGTCCTCACACCGGGGGGACGCCGCTGGACAATCCACACACCGGGAAGACGCCACTGGACAGTCCCCACACCGGGAGAACGCCGTTGGACAGTCCCCACACCGGGGGGACGCCACTGGACAGTCCCCACGCCGGGGAGACGCTACTGGACAGTCTCCACACCTATAGGCCGCCGCAGGACAGTCCCCACACCGGGAGGACGCCGCAGGACAGTCCCAACACCGAAGGACGCCATTGGACAGTCCTCATACCGGGAGGACGAACTGGACAGTCCCCACACCAGGAGGACGCCACTGGATAGTCCTCACACCGAAGGGACGCGGCAGGACAGTTGCCACACCAGGGGGAAGCCGCAGGACAGTCCCCACACCGGGGGGACGCCGCTGGACAGTCCCTACACCGGGGGGGACGGCACTGGACAGCCCCCTCACCGGGGGGACTCCACTGGACAGTCTCTACACCGGGAGGACGCTGCCGGACAGTCCCCACACCATGAGGACGCCACTGGACAGTCCCCAAACCAGGGGGACGCCACTGAACAGTCCCCACACCGGGAGAACGCCGCTGGACAGTCCCCACATTGGGGGGACGCCACTGGACAGTCCCCACTCCGGGGCGACGCTACTGGACAGTCCCCACACCGGGAGGACGCCACTGGACAGTCCCCACACCAGGACGCCGCTGGACAGTCCTCACACCGGGGGGACGCTGCTGGACAGTCCCCACACCGGGAGGACGCCGCAGGACAGTCCACACGCCGGAGGGACGCCGCTGGACAGTCCCCACACCGTGGGGACGCCGCAGGACAGTCCCAACACCGAAGGACGCCATTGGACAGTCCTCATACCGGGAGGACGAACTGGACAGTCCCCACACCAGGAAGACGCCACTGGATAGTCCTCACACCGAAGGGACGCGGCAGGACAGTTGCCACACCAGGGGGAAGCCGCAGGACAGTCCCCACACCGGGGGGACGCCGCTGGACAGTCCCTACACCGGGGGGGACGGCACTGGACAGCCCCCTCACCGGGGGGACTCCACTGGACAGTCTCCACACCGGGAGGACGCTGCCGGACAGTCCCCACACCATGAGGACGCCACTGGACAGTCCCCAAACCAGGGGGACGCCACTGAACAGTCCCCACACCGGGAGAACGCCGCTGGACAGTCCCCACATTGGGGGGACGCCACTGGACAGTCCCCACTCCGGGGCGACGCTACTGGACAGTCCCCACACCGGGAGGACGCCACTGGACAGTCCCCACACCAGGACGCCGCTGGACAGTCCCCACACCGGGGGACGCTGCTGGACAGTCCCCACACCGGGAGGACGCCGCAGGACAGTCCACACGCCGGAGGGACGCCGCTGGACAGTCCCCACACCGTGAGGACGCGGCTGTACAGTCCCCACACCAGGGAGAGGCCGCCAGACAGTCCCCACACCGAGGGGACGCCACTGAACAGTCCCCACATCGGGAGGATACCGCTGGACAGTCCCCACACCGTGGGGACGCCGCTGTACAGTCCCCACACCAGGGAGAGGCCACCAGAAAGTCCCTACACCGGGAGGACGCCGCTGGAAAGTCCCCACGCCATGAGGACGCCACTAGACAGTCCCCTAACCAGGGGGACGCCACTGAACAGTCCCCACACCGGGAGAACGCCGCTGGACAGTCCCCACATTGGGGGGACACCACTGGACAGTCCCCACTCCGGGGCGACGCTACTGGACAGTCCCCACACCGGGAAGACGCTGCTGGACAGTCCCCACACCGGGAGGACGCCAATGGACCGTCCCCACACCGGAAGGACGCCACTAGACAGTTTCCACACCGGGAGGACGCCGCTGGGCAGTCCCCACACCGGGGGGACGCCGCTAGACAGTCCCCACACCGGGAGGACGCTGCTGGACAGTCCCCACACCGGGGGACGCCGATGGACAGTCCCCAGACAGGGCAACGCCGCTGGACAGTCCCCACACAGGGGGGACACCGTTGGACAGTCCCCACACAGGGGGACGCCACTGGACAGTCCACACACCGGGAGGACGCACGCTCTCACCCTCCATGGTATACTAGTAACGACTCTCACCCTCCCTGGTATACTAGTAACGGCTCTCACCCTCCCTGGTATACTAGTAACGACTCTCACCCTCCATGGTATACTAGTAACGGCTCTCACCCTCCATGGTATACTAGTAACGGCTCTCACCCTCCCTGGTATACTAGTAACGACTCTCTCCCTCCATGGTATACTAGTAACGACTCTCACCCTCCATGGTATACTAGTAACGACTCTCACACTCCATGGTATACTAGTAACGGCTCTCACCCACCATGGTATACTAGTAACGACTTTCACCCTCCATGGTATACTAGTAACGGCTCTCACCCTCCATGGTATACTAGTAACGACTCTCACCCTCCATGGTATACTAGTAACGACTCTCACACTCCATGGTATACTAGTAACGGCTCTCACCCACCATGGTATACTAGTAACGACTCTCACCCTCCATGGTATACTAGTAACGGCTCTCACCCTCCATGGTATACTAGTAACGACTCTCACCCTCCCTGGTATACTAGTAACGACTCTCACCCTCCATGGTATACTAGTAACGGCTCTCACCCTCCATGGTATACTAGTAACGACTCTCACCCACCATGGTATACTAGTAACGACTCTCACCCTCCATAGTATACTAGTAACGGCTCTCACCCTCCATGGTATACTAGTAACGACTCTCACCCTCCATGGTATACTAGTAACGACTCTCACACTCCATGGTATACTAGTAACGGCTCTCACCCACCATGGTATACTAGTAACGACTCTCACCCTCCATGGTATACTAGTAACGGCTCTCACCCTCCATGGTATACTAGTAACGACTCTCACCCACCATGGTATACTAGTAACGACTCTCACCCTCCATAGTATACTAGTAACGGCTCTCACCCTCCATGGTATACTAGTAACGGCTCTCACCCTCCCTGGTATACTAGTAACGACTCTCACCGTCCATGGTATACTAGTAACGGCTCTCACCCTCCATGGTATACTAGTAACGGCTCTCACCCTCCATGGTATACTAGTAACGGCTCTCACCCACCCTGGTATACTAGTAACGGCTCTCACCCTCCATGGTATACTAGTAACGACTCTCACCCTCCATGGTATACTAGTAACGACTCTCACACTCCATGGTATACTAGTAACGGCTCTCACCCACCATGGTATACTAGTAACGACTCTCACCCTCCATGGTATACTAGTAACGGCTCTCACCCTCCATGGTATACTAGTAACGACTCTCACCCACCATGGTATACTAGTAACGACTCTCACCCTCCATGGTATACTAGTAACGGCTCTCACCCTCCATGGTATACTAGTAACGGCTCTCACCCACCATGGTATACTAGTAACGGCTCTCACCCTCCATGGTATACTAGTAACGGCTCTCACCCACCCTGGTATACTAGTAACGGCTCTCACCCTCCATGGTATACTAATAACGTGCTCTAGCTATCCTGCCGAAATGATATATCTACTTTTTTCACTCTGAACACTTCATACCTTAAACTTGCTCTCATTCAGGTGATTCAAACTATAATATTATTATTCTTTGTCTTTGTTTTTATATACTGCATCTCGGCTGTTTATGTTAACAACTTCCTTTTCTTTCCCCTCAGTATAAATACCTCTGTGGCTTCTCATGATGACTAATTTTTTGTAGACAGTTAGCACACACAGATGCTAGTTAGGATAACAGTTAGCTTACACAGCTGCCGGTTAGGATGACAGTTAGCTCACACAGCTGCCAATTAGGATGACAGTTATCTCACACAGCTGCCAATTAGGATGACAGTTAGTTCATACAGTTGCCAGTTATCACCTGTACGTCAGGAACAGAGAGAATATAAAACATTTCCATGGCAACTTTCCCTAGCATAAAGTTTGTTTTAAAATTGATGGCAGAGAGCGGCAGGCAGCACCCAGCCCCTCACAACGCCTCCCCATCAGTGAGGTGATCCTGTAATCCCAGACTCGAGTCTGTCCCGTGTCCCTTTATACATGGACTTTCCGTTCGGGTTTTATGTTCGAACTTTACGAATGAGTGACTGCTATACGGGTGGTGTAGTTGAAGACAGTTTCCTGTCTTCAATCACAGTGAGGAACACTCAGATACTTTTTGGAGTATTTCTCTCACGTGAATAGTGACCGAGCCTCTAGCCCGAGCTTCTGAGTGGTGACCGAGCCTCTAGCCCGAGCTTCTGAGTGGTGAACGAGCCTCTAGCCCGAGCTTCTGAGTGGTGACCGAGCCTCTAGCCCGAGCTTCCGAGTGGTGACCGAGCCTTTAGCCCGAGCTTCTGAGTGGTGACCGTGCCTCTAGCCCGAGCTTCTGAGTGGTGACCGTGCCTCTAGCCCGAGCTTCTGAGCGGTGACCGAGCCTCTAGCCCGAGCTTCTGAGCGGTGACCGAGCCTCTAGTCCGAGCTTCTGAGCGGTGACCGAGCCTCTAGCAAGAGCTTCTGAGTGGTGACCGAGCCTCTAGCCCGAGCTTCTGAGTGGTAACCGTGCCTCTAGCTCGAGCTTCTGAGTGGTGACCGAGCCTGACCGAGTCAACACTACGTGATAGTCAAGACTACGTGGTAGCCTAGACTACGTGGTAGCCAAGACTACGTGATAGTCAAGACTACGTGGTAGCCTAGACTACGTGATAGTCAAGACTACGTGGCAGCCAAGACTACGTGACAGTCAAGACTACGAGGTAGCCTAGACTACGTGGTAGCCAAGACTACGTGGTAGCCAAGACTACGTGATAGTCAAGACTACGTGGTAGTCTAGACTACGTGATAGTCAAGACTACGTGGTAGCCAAGACTACGTGATAGTCAAGACTACGTGGTAGCCAAGACTACGTGATAGTCAAGACTACGTGGTAGCCTAGACTACGTGGTAGCCAAGACTACGTGGTAGCCAAGACTACGTGGTAGCCTAGACTACGTAGTCGTCAAGACTACGTGGTAGTCAAGACTACGTGGTAGTCAAGACTACGTGGTAGTCAAGACTACGTGGTAGCCTAGACTACGTGGTAGCCAAGACTACGTGGTAGCCAAGACTACGTGGTAGCCAAGACTACGTGGTAGCAAAGACTACGTGGTAGCAAAGACTACGTGGTAGCCAAGACTACGTGGTAGCCAAGACTACGCGGTAGTCAAGACTACGTGGTAGCCAAGACTACGTGGTAGTCAAGACTACGTGGTATTCAAGACTACGTGGTAGCCTAGACTACGTGGTAGCCAAGACTACGTGGTAGCCAAGACTACGTGGTAGCCAAGACTACGTGGTAGCAAAGACTACGTGGTAGCCAAGACTACGTGGTAGCCAAGACTACGTGGTAGCCTAGACTACGTGATAGCGAAGACTACGTGGTAGCCTAGACTACGTGGTAGCCTAGACTACGTGGTAGCCAAGACTACGTGGTAGTCAAGACTACGTGGTAGCCAAGACTACGTGGTAGCCAAGACTACGTGGTAGCCAAGACTACGTGGTAGCAAAGACTACGTGGTAGCCAAGACTACGTGGTAGCCAAGACTACGTGGTAGCCAAGACTACGTGGTAGCCTAGACTACGTGATAGCGAAGACTACGTGGTAGCCTAGACTACGTGGTAGCCAAGACTACGTGGTAGTCAAGACTACGTGGTAGCCTAGACTACGTGGTAGCCAAGACTACGTGGTAGCCTAGACTACGTGGTAGCCAAGACTACGTGGTAGCCAAGACTACGTGGTAGCCAAGACTACGCGGTAGTCAAGACTACGTGGTAATCAAGACTACGCGGTAGTCAAGACTACGCGGTAGTCAAGACTACGCGGTAGTCAAGACTACGCGGTAGTCAAGACTACGCGGTAGTCAAGACTACGCGGTAGTCAAGACTACGCGGTAGTCAAGACTACGCGGTAGCCAAGACTACGCGGTAGCCAAGACTACGTGGTAGCCAAGACTACGTGGTAGCCCAAGACTACGTGGTAGCCAAGACTACGTGGTAGTCAAGACTACGTGGTAGTCAAGACTACGTGGTAGTCAAGACTACGTGGTAGCCAAGACTACGTGGTAGCCAAGACTACGTGGTAGCCTAGACTACGTGGTAGCCTAGACTACGTGGTAGCCAAGACTACGTGGTAGCCTAGACTACGTGGTAGCCAAGACTACGTGGTAGCCTAGACTACGTGGTAGTCAAGACTACGTGGTAGCCAAGACTACGTGGTAGCCAAGACTACGTGGTAGCCTAGACTACGTGGTAGCCAAGACTACGTGGTAGCCTAGACTACGTGGTAGTCAAGACTACGTGGTAGCCAAGACTTCGTGGTAGCCAAGACTACGTGGTAGCCTAGACTACGTGGTAGCCAAGACTACGTGGTAGCCTAGACTACGTGGTAGCCAAGACTACGTGGTAGCCTAGACTACGTGGTAGCCTAGACTACGTGGTAGCCTAGACTACGTGGTAGCCTAGACTACGTGGTAGTCTTGACACACCTCTGACGTGACTTTAGGGTGTGGCTTCCTTGCGGCACCGGTCAGCCACGTGGGTGTGATCTGTGCTAATTGTTCTGGCACAATGATCGGCTCACTCTCCCTCCGAGTTAAGTTACTTCCTTCCTTCCTACCTAGTTACTTCTTCCAAGAGGAACTTCCTAGTTCCTCCTTCCTGCTTGACTAGTGTTTTTTTTTTTCCTAATATTTACAACTGCTTCACGTTCTGAGCTGTGTGGTGTTTCTTGGTGCTGTGGCTGAGCCATACAGTCATTACTTCCTTAGTTATTTTAATGATATTGGAACTAATGTATGACAACAGTGGGCCAAGCGAGACGAGGCCCTCCTGTTTTCTCTGTTCAAACAGATTGTGTACGGAACGCAGCGGCAGGAGAACGTGTTGCACTGTTTGTTCTCAACATTTTCCGCTCTAAATCTTGGGAAACAAAGAATACAGTATTTATACAATGCTCTCAGCACACAGCAAGATGTCCTGTTTACTCGGTAAATTACCTACATGGATTTTTACATTCACTTGACACAGATTTTTAATTAAAATAATTTTTCCAGCAAAGGATCTCGAATATTATCAGTCACAAGAACTGATGTTCCAAATACAGCAGAACAGCACTTGTCAGTAGTCAGCAGTGTTATGTAGTGGGTTATCAGCAGTGTTATATTATGGGTTGTCAGCAGTGTTATGTGGTGGGTTATCAGCAGTGTTATGTGATGGGTTGTCAGCAGTGTTATATGATGGGTTGTCAGCTGTGTTATATGATGGGTTGTCAGCAGTGTTATATGATGGGTTATCAGCAGTGTTATATGATGGGTTATCAGCAGTGTTATATGATGGGTTATCAGCAGTGTTATGTGATGGGTTGTCAGCAGTGTTATGTGATGGGTTGTCAGCAGTGTTATGTGGTGGGTTATCAGCAGTGTTATATGATGGGTTGTCAGCAGTGTTATGTGATGGGTTGTCAGCAGTGTTATGTGGTGGGTTATCAGCAGTGTTATATGATGGGTTATCAGCAGTGTTATATGATGGGTTGTCAGCAGTGTTATATGATGGGTTATCAGCAGTGTTATATGATGGGTTATCAGCAGTGTTATGTGATGGGTTATCAGCAGTGTTATATGATGGGTTATCAGCAGTGTTATATGATGGGTTATCAGCAGTGTTATGTGATGGGTTGTCAGCAGTGTTATGTGGTGGGTTATCAGCAGTGTTATATGATGGGTTGTCAGCAGTGTTATATGATGGGTTGTCAGCAGTGTTATGTAGTGGGTTGTCAGCAGTGTTATGTAGTGGGTTATCAGCAGTGTTATATGATGGGTTGTCAGCAGTGTTATATGATGGGTTGTCAGCAGTGTTATATGATGGGTTGTCAGCTGTGTTATATGATGGGTTGTCAGCAGTGTTATATGAAGGGTTGTCAGCAGTGTTATATGATGGGTTGTCAGCAGTGTTATGTAGTGGGTTATCAGCAGTGTTATATGATGGGTTGTCAGCAGTGTTATGTAGTGGGTTATCAGCAGTGTTATGTGATGGGGTGTCAGCAGTGTTATATGATGGGTTGCCAGCAGTGTTATGTAGTGGGTTATCAGCAGTGTTATGTGATGGGTTGTCAGCTGTGTTATATGATGGGTTGTCAGCTGTGTTATATGATGGGTTATCAGCAGTGTTATATGATGGGTTGTCAGCAGTGTTATATGATGGGTTGTCAGCAGTGTTATGTAGTGGGTTGTCAGCAGTGTTATGTAGTGGGTTATCAGCAGTGTTATATGATGGGTTGTCAGCAGTGTTATATGATGGGTTATCAGCTGTGTTATGTAGTGGGTTATCAGCAATGTTATATGATGGGTTGTCAGCTGTGTTATATGATGGGTTGTCAGCAGTGTTATATGATGGGTTATCAGCAGTGTTATATGATGGGTTGTCAGCTGTGTTATGTGGTGGGTTATCAGCTGTGTTATATGATGGGTTGTCAGCTGTGTTATGTAGTGGGTTATCAGCTGTGTTATATGATGGGTTGTCAGCTGTGTTATGTAGTGGGTTATCAGCTGTGTTATATGATGGGTTATCAGCAGTGTTATATGATGGGTTATCAGCAGTGTTATATGATGGGTTATCAGCAGTGTTATATGATGGGTTGTCAGCTGTGTTATGTGATGGGTTGTCAGCTGTGTTATATGATGGGTTGTCAGCTGTGTTATATGGTGGGTTATCAGCAGTGTTATATAATGGGTTGTCAGCAGTGTTATATGATGGGTTGTCAGCAGTGTTATGTAGTGGGTTGTCAGCAGTGTTATGTAGTGGGTTATCAGCAGTGTTATATGATGGGTTGTCAGCAGTGTTATATGATGGGTTATCAGCAGTGTTATATGATGGGGTGTCAGCAGTGTTATATGATGGGTTGTCAGCAGTGTTATATGATGGGTTATCAGCTGTGTTATGTGGTGGGTTATCAGCAGTGTTATATGATGGGTTGTCAGCTGTGTTATATGATGGGTTGTCAGCAGTGTTATATGATGGGTTATCAGCAGTGTTATATGATGGGTTGTCAGCTGTGTTATGTGGTGGGTTATCAGCTGTGTTATATGATGGGTTGTCAGCTGTGTTATGTAGTGGGTTATCAGCTGTGTTATATGATGGGTTGTCAGCTGTGTTAAGTAGTGGGTTATCAGCTGTGTTATATGATGGGTTATCAGCAGTGTTATATGATGGGTTATCAGCAGTGTTATATGATGGGTTATCAGCAGTGTTATATGATGGGTTGTCAGCTGTGTTATGTGGTGGGTTATCAGCTGTGTTATATGATGGGTTGTCAGCTGTGTTATATGATGGGTTGTCAGCTGTGTTATATGATGGGTTGTCAGCAGTGTTATATGATGGGTTGTCAGCTGTGTTATATGATGGGTTGTCAGCAGTGTTATGTGATGGGTTGTCAGCAGTGTTATATGATGGGTTGTCAGCTGTGTTATATGATGGGTTGTCAGCAGTGTTATATGATGGGTTGTCAGCTGTGTTATATGATGGGTTGTCAGCAGTGTTATATGATGGGTTGTCAGCTGTGTTATATGATGGGTTGTCAGCTGTGTTATATGATGGGTTGTCAGCAGTGTTATATGATGGGTTGTCAGCTGTGTTATATGATGGGTTGTCAGCAGTGTTATGTGATGGGTTGTCAGCAGTGTTATATGATGGGTTGTCAGCTGTGTTATATGATGGGTTGTCAGCAGTGTTATATGATGGGTTGTCAGCAGTGTTATATGATGGGTTGTCAGCAGTGTTATGTGATGGGTTGTCAGCAGTGTTATATGATGGGTTGTCAGCAGTGTTATATGATGGGTTGTCAGCTGTGTTATATGATGGGTTGTCAGCAGTGTTATATGACGGGTTGTCAGCAGTGTTATATGATGGGTTGTCAGCAGTGTTATATGATGGGTTGTCAGCAGTGTTATATGATGGGTTGTCAGCAGTGTTATATGATGGGTTGTCAGCAGTGTTATATGATGGGTTGTCAGCTGTGTTATATGACGGGTTGTCAGCAGTGTTTTATGATGGGTTGTCAGCTGTGTTATATGATGGGTTGTCAGCAGTGTTATATGATGGGTTGTCAGCAGTGTTATATGATGGGTTGTCAGCAGTGTTATATGATGGGTTGTCAGCAGTGTTATATGATGGGTTGTCAGCAGTGTTATATGATGGGTTGTCAGCAGTGTTATGTGATGGGTTGTCAGCAGTGTTATATGATGGGTTGTCAGCAGTGTTATATGATGGGTTGTCAGCAGTGTTATATGATGGGTTGTCAGCAGTGTTATATGATGGGTTGTCAGCAGTGTTATATGATGGGTTGTCAGCAGTGTTATATGATGGGTTGTCAGCAGTGTTATATGATGGGTTGTCAGCAGTGTTATATGATGGGTTGTCAGCTGTGTTATATGATGGGTTGTCAGCTGTGTTATATGACGGGTTGTCAGCTGTGTTATATGATGGGTTGTCAGCAGTGTTATATGATGGGTTGTCAGCAGTGTTATATGATGGGTTGTCAGCAGTGTTATATGATGGGTTGTCAGCACTGTTATATGATGGGTTGTCAGCAGTGTTATATGATGGGTTGTCAGCTGTGTTATATGATGGGTTGTCAGCAGTGTTATATGATGGGTTGTCAGCTGTGTTATATGATGGGTTGTCAGCAGTGTTATATGATGGGTTGTCAGCAGTGTTATATGATGGGTTGTCAGCAGTGTTATATGATGGGTTGTCAGCAGTGTTATATGATGGGTTGTCAGCAGTGTTATATGATGGTTGTCAGCAGTGTTATATGATGGGATATCAGCAGTGTTATATGATGGGTTGTCAGCAGTGTTATATGATGGGTTGTCAGCAGTGTTATATGATGGGTTGTCAGCAGTGTTATATGATGGGTTGTCAGCAGTGTTATATGATGGGTTGTCAGCAGTGTTATATGATGGGTTGTCAGCAGTGTTATATGATGGGTTGTCAGCAGTGTTATATGATGGTTGTCAGCAGTGTTATATGATGGGTTATCAGCAGTGTTATATGATGGGTTGTCAGCAGTGTTATTTGATGGGTTGTCAGCAGTGTTATATGATGGGTTGTCAGCAGTGTTATATGATGGGTTGTCAGCAGTGTTATATGATGGGTTGTCAGCAGTGTTATATGATGGGTTGTCAGCAGTGTTATATGATGGGTTGTCAGCAGTGTTATATGATGGGTTGTCAGCAGTGTTATATGATGGGTTGTCAGCTGTGTTATATGACGGGTTGTCAGCTGTGTTATATGATGGGTTGTCAGCAGTGTTATATGATGGGTTGTCAGCAGTGTTATATGATGGGTTGTCAGCTGTGTTATATGATGGTTGTCAGCAGTGTTATATGATGGGTTGTCAGCAGTGTTATATGATGGGTTGTCAGCAGTGTTATATGATGGGTTATCAGCAGTGTTATATGATGGGTTGTCAGCAGTGTTATATGATGGGTTGTCAGCAGTGTTATATGATGGGTTATCAGCAGTGTTAACACATTTCACACAGCACACAACACTGGTCAGTGAGGACACAACACTGGTCCCTGGCATGCACACCTGACCACCTTGTTGGCTCTGAGCATAACAGGTTCGAACCTCAGGGTGGAGGATCCCTGCCTCTGGCATTGTCACAATCAACAGAAAGAGATGTGTTAAACTGCCTACACCCAACGTAACCCATCCGATTGATGCAAACATAGAAAACGTGAATGGTTTTGAGCCCTTATGATTGATAGGACCTCATATTGTCCTATAAATCGAAATATTTTGGCCTGAAACTCCTGTTATTCATAATGGGACCTCTGTTATTCATAATGGGACCTCTGTTATTCATAATGGGACCTCTGTTATTCATAATGGGACCTCTGTTATTCATAATGGGACCTCTGTTATTCATAATGGGACCTCTGTTATTCATAATGGGACCTCTGTTATTCATAATGGGACCTCTGTTATTCACAATGGGACCTCTGTTATTCATAATGGGACCCCTGTTATTCAAAATGGGACCTCTGTAACTCAAAATTGGACCTCTGTTATTCATAATGGGACCCTATTATTCATAATTGGACCTCTGTTATTCATAATAGGACCTCTGTTATTCATAATGGGACCTCTGTTATTCATAATGGGACCTCTGTTATTCGTAATGGGACCCCTATTATTCATAATGGGACCTGTTATTCATAATGGGACCTCTGTTATTCATAATGGGACCTCTGTTATTCATAATGGGACATCTGTTATTCGTAATGGGACCCCTATTATTCATAATGGGACCTCTGTTATTCATAATGGGACCCCTATTATTCATAATGGGACCTCTGTTATTCATAATGGGACCTCTGTTATTCATAATGGGACCTCTGTTATTCAAAATGAGACCTCTGTTATTATATATAATGGGACCTCTGTTATTCATAATGGGACCTCTGTTATTCATAATGGGACCTCTGTTATTCATAATGGGACCTCCGTTATTCATAATGGGACCTCTGTTATTCATAATGGGACCCCTATTATTCATAATGGGACCTCTGTTATTCATAATGGGACCCCTATTATTCATAATGGGAACTCCTGTTATTCATAATGGGACCTCTGTTATTCATAATGGGAACTCTGTTATTCATAATGGGAACTCTGTTATTCATAATGGGACCTCTGTTATTCATAATGGGACCTCTGTTATTCATAATGGGACCTCTGTTATTCATAATGGGACCTCTGTTATTCATAATGGGACCTCTGTTATTCATAATGGGACCCCTATTATTCATAATGGGACCTCTGTTATTCATAATGGGACCCCTGTTATTCAAAATGGGACCTCTGTAACTCAAAATTGGACCTCTGTTATTCATAATGGGACCCCTATTATTCATAATGGGACCTCTGTTATTCATAATGGGACCTCTGTTATTCATAATGGGACCTCTGTTATTCAAAATGAGACCTCTGTTATTATATATAATTTGACCTCTGTTATTCATAATGGGACCTCTGTTATTCATAATGGGACCTCTGTTATTCATAAGAGGACCTCTGTTATTCATAATGGGACCTCTGTTATTCATAATGGGACCCCTATTATTCATAATGGGACCTCTGTTATTCATAATGGGACCCCTATTATTCATAATGGGAACTCCTGTTATTCATAATGGGACCTCTGTTATTCATAATCGGAACTCTGTTATCCATAATGGGAACTCTGTTATTCATAATGGGACCTCTGTTATTCATAATGGGACCTCTGTTATTCACAATGGGACCTCTGTTATTCATAATGGGACCTCTGTTATTCATAATGGGACCTCTGTTATTCATAATGGGACCCCTATCATTCATAATAGGACCTCTGTTATTCATAATGGGACCCCTGTTATTCAAAATGGGACCTCTGTAATTCAAAATTGGACCTCTGTTATTCATAATGGGACCCCAATTATTCATAATGGGACCTCTGTTATTCATAATGGGACCTCTGTTATTCATAATGGGACCTCTGTTATGCGTAATGGGACCCCTATTATTCATAATGGGACCTCTGTTATTCATAATGAGACCCCTATTATTCATAATAGGACCTCTGTTATTCATAATGGGACCTCTGTTATTCATAATGGGACCTCTGTTATTCATAATGGGACCTCTGTTATTCATAATGGGACCCCTATTATTGATAATGGGACCTCTGTTATTCATAATGGGACCTCTGTTATTCATAATGGGACCTCTGTTATGCGTAATGGGACCCCTATTATTCATAATGGGACCTCTGTTATTCATAATGGGACCCCTATTATTCATAATGGGACCTCTGTTATTCAAAATGAGACCTCTGTTATTATATATAATGGGACCTCTGTTATTCATAATGGGACCTCTGTTATTCATAATGGGACCTCTGTTATTCATAATGGGACCTCTGTTATTCATAATGGGACCTCTGTTATTCATAATGGGACCCCTATTATTGATAATGGGACCTCTGTTATTCATAATGTGACTCCTATTATTCATAATGGGAACTCTTGTTATTCATAATAGGACCTCTGTAATTCATAATGGGACCTCTGTTATTTATAATGGGACCTCTGTTATTCATAATGGGACCTCTGTTATTCATAATGGGAACTCTGTTATTCATAATGGGAACTCTGTTATTCATAATGGGACGTCTGTTATTCATAATGGGACCTCTGTTATTCATAATGGGACCTCTGTTATTCATAATGGGACCTCTGTTATTCATAATGGGACCTCTGTTATTCATAATGGGACCCATATTATTCATAATGGGACCTCTGTTATTCATAATGGGACCTCTGTTATTCAAAATGGGTCCTCTGTTATTCAAAATGGGACCTCTGTTATTCTTAATGGGACCCCTATTATTCATAATGGGACCTCTGTTATTCATAATGGGACCTCTGCTATTCATAATGGGGCCTCTGTTATTCATAATGGGACCCCTATTATTCATAATGGGACCTCTGTTATTCATAATGGGACCTCTGCTATTCATAATGGGACCTCTGTTATTCAAAATGGGACCTCTGTTATTATATATAATGGGACCTCTGTTATTCATAATGGGACCTCTGTTATTCTTAATGGGACCTCTGTTATTCATAATTGGACCTCTGATATTCATAATGGGACCTCTGTTATTCATAATGGGACCCCTATTATTCATAATGGGATCTCTGTTATTCATAATGGGACCCCTATTATTCATAATGGGGCCTCTGTTATTCATAATGGGACCTCTGCTATTCATAATGGGACCTCTGGTTTTCAAAATGGGACCTCTGTTATTATATATAATGGGACCTCTGTTATTCATAATAGGACCTCTGTTATTCATATTGGGACCTCTGTTATTCATAATGGGACCTCTGTTATTCATAATGGGACCTCTGTTATTCATAATGGGAACTCTGTTATTCATAATGGGAACTCTGTTATT